ATAAACTTGTTCAACAAGGTTGGAATCAAGTTATCAAAGAAGTTTTCAAACGAGAATTGCGTCAGTGAAAACGACTGCAACATGTTCAGTGCTTTTAGAAGATTTCTCTGTTTGGGAGAAACATTCTTGTTGAAGTCTATATCAGCTACTAAATGCTCGTTGACATAACCTTGCAACATTTGCAGCAACTCCGCAGCTTTGTCTGGTGGTAAATTCGTCAAAAACGTTTTCACTATTGGCGCAATGTGACAATCAATGTTACCGTCGGGCAACAGACGTGTAAATCCTAAACTCTCGTGATTGAATATTATATCAACAACGAAATTCCATAAATCCGGGGTCCAAAACACAAGGAAGTTAGGCGAGAGAGCGTTTAAAAGCTCTAAAATTTTGACAGCCGCTTGGGATCTCTGTTTATCAAAAGTTTGTATCTCGAACGAGGTAAACAACCACTCTTTGACTTCAATAACACTGTAAGCTTGTTCCAAAGTTGCTTTAGACAGTTTATTGACGAAATAATGAATGGCATTGATAATAGTTTCGGTTAAAATATTGTCCAAGGGTGTTAGTTTGTTAGTGACGACAAACTTGTACCCATCTAGTGCACACAAAAACGCTTGCATCCATTTATTTGGTCCTAATCCTTCACATTTTGATAAATTTTCTAAAGTTGGGTAGCGCGTCAAAAATGCTTCATAAATTTCTACAACCCAGTTCGTTTTTTTGAAAGATGTAACAAACGTTTCAAGAGTGCTAAATTGTGTTATTTTTGGTGACAAGTTGCAAAACAGTTCCATACATTTTTCCCTACAATACCCACTCGATGATCCTGTTTGTTCTAGCAACCAAAGAGCAACATGCTCCAAAGTTTCTCCTTCCATATCAACGGGGATTCTTCGATGTCTGTCCGCCTTATTAAACATACTGGATTTTTCCACAAAGCCTCTTTCTACATGGCTTAAGGCGCTATTTATGTGTGTAATTGAATTTTCGTCGGTTGCTTCATATTCATAAGTTGAAAGACTTTTAACAAAGATGTGAAGAAACTCAATCCAAAACATACTCAAAAGGGTAGTTTCTTCGCGAAGTTCTCTATATATGTTATTGAAAATTAAAGCAGCTCCTAGTTTTTTGGAAGGGTCTGGATGCATGCTGTAAAATCGCATTTTTTTAATTAGGATTTTGATGTTAATTTGATCTATGGCTAAATTTTTTTCGCTTGTTTGTTTAATTGTCCATTTGACGAATTCGTTGATGCATTTGCCTGAGAAATCTCGTAACGCAGTGTCAGTTGGGTGGGTTATACTTTCCTAGAAAGATGGGGTTAAATATAACTCTATACCTATATGCACAATTTAGTATTTACCAGAACCGACTCAATGAATATAGCGCTATGTTCGCTTCGCAATTGTGACACTTGTGTATACCAATGAATTAACTGAAAACATAGAGGTCTATATAGTTGTTCAATGACTGGGTCCATGTCACATCCGAGCTTCAGTAGAGGTACGGATATATGTCTCAATAATTCATTTAAATCGGAGAGACCAGATTGTGTCATTTGTTTTGCTAAAATTTGATTACTGTATTACGTCATAGAACAAAAAATCAAAATACATACTTGCTCCCAAAAAAATCATAATTATAGCTTGTAGGAGCTCACAAGCCATAACTCTAGTTTTCCTGTCAGAACTATTTAGTGCTATGTTAATAATTCTTGGAAGTAGTTTATCAAGGTATATATCTAATTTGATATCATTATAGGGTAACACGATTTTCAGATGTTGCTGATTACTCCAAACAGACAAATTCGTGTCATCCTCATGAAAAGCAAAAGCTTCACATAACGCATTGCTTTGTCCACCAACAAATTTTATAATCCTCATTTGAAGTCTCATAAGTTCTGGTTCAACGTTAAGTAAAACTTTACGTTTCTTCAGCGCTTGCGCAGTTTTTCTTTTGGTTTCGGGAACACTGGAATCCGTGAAACGTCCCAACGATTTGCTCTGTAGGTAATAGTCTAGCAATGCTATAATCTGTATTAAGAAAGGTTCCATTTCTTCACAAGTAATCTTTTTTTGCCACTGTTTCAAGGTATCTAAAGCCATGTCGGCCAACTGTATGTAGTTTCGACCAACATAAAAAATCGTTTTGAAAGAAGGTACACAAGCTGGTAGTATTTTTCGGATTATAACAATCGGATACTGTAGAAGAACTTGAAGACATGCAATCAACAAGTCTGCTTTATACTCTTGCGTTTTGCTTAAAATGCTGTTGGCGAATATCGTTAAAGTTGAGTTACACATTTGGACATCCTGAACAACGCTACTGCTTGATTCATCGAAGTAATTTATCTTGTTGCAAACTTTTAAAATGAACGAAAGCAGCTTGTAAAACCCACTAATCAAAGGAAACTTGTTGCATTTATCCACGAGACACCGTATCAACGTGCTAGCCCATTTTTTCAAATTTGAGGGGTCGACGTTTTGGAAAATCTTCTGATAAAAATCCACCACGTTTAAGAAAATAGCGAAGTCATTAGCTTCGGCTACTTTATATGCAGACTGTATATCCGTTGCAGCCTCCGCTGCCTCATTCAAATCAATGGAAACATTGAGTTTGTCAATTAACACCAGCAAAGTTTTCATTAACTGATTTATAATCTTTGTCAAAATGCGTGTGCGATTTTCCGAACAAATCCCCATCTTGTCGAATTTATGCAGTGTTTGAATCCTCAACAATTTTCGCCACATCCTGAAATAATTCTTGACAGTAAGTACTCCAGGTGTACCTTTTTCTAAAATATTAACTTCTGAGACATGCTCATGCGAGCAAGACCAAACTACTCCTCGATATATCACACTCTCCACAAAATTATCGAAATTTTTTTCATCGTTGGATAATAAATAGTAGCAAGTTGATACTAAAGCCTCTATAACAGCATCGTGGCAGGAACATGGCAACTGTGGATAAATCTTAATCATCAAAATTGTTACTTTTTGTAAAGAAAAAAGTTCGCTGTTTGTAATTTTTCTGACATGAATGAATTTTGTCATAGTCTGTAAGTTGCATGGTAGATTTTCTAAAACGTCTCGCGATGGTTCTGGGTCAAGAATAAACCTTTGTTCGAAGTTCTGAACTATCAAAATAAGTGTGTTTTTGAATTCCTCTTCACCTAATTGTAGTAAAAATGAACCAAATCCGTGCAAACACAGATTTTTTTCATGATGAGTAGCTTTGTTATTATTGAATGTTTCATTAAAACACTGCATAAAGTACTAAAAACGCCAAAGAACTATTATAATTTTTAATGTAGACCATAATTTTACTAACCCTTATAACATCTGTATGCTGCTGAGGTAGTAAAAATGTTCCTAGGGCACTATAGAGAGCTTTAATCACGAAAATACCAACTTTTTGATCATCAGGTCCATAATCCAACCATTTTAGCAAATTTTTGTGCCAATGTTGGATGTTTTCAATCATTAAATTAACAAATATTGACATATTATTTCCCAGGAACGTTAAGGCAGCTGAAATAATTTGAACAGTTGAATTAAAAAAAATGATCAGATCGAATCTTACCTCTGTTGGCGATTTTTATTACAGATGTTGGAATTGTCATTCGATCAAGATATGTCCAAAGGCTGTTGATGACGGTCTCATCTTCTTCTGACTTTGGATCGAGGGGAAAACTTTCACAAAAATGATCCAGTCCAGTAAAAACACCGCACACGACCGAATTAGAAAAATCTGTCTTGTTCATTTCAGCTTTCAGTGCACTTATAAAAATGGACTTCAATCTTTCGTGGTTAGTTATAGAATCTTGAAAGTACTTAGCGAAAGCTCCTAAGGCTTTGAAGACTTTTTCTTGAACTAAGAAATGATCAAGTCGTGTATAACTTACTAAATATCACTTGATACCATTACCTGTGACGAGTTTGTTCGTATTAACTGTTGTTAATAAACTGGCGTACACATTATTGTAACACACAGGATAATCTAAACACTTGTTAATTTTTTCAAAACTGAGAGTCACCACTTCTAATGCTTTTACTTTTTCATCGGCGGAGACAAGTGAGGAGTTGATGACTTTGAAACATATATCGAATATCACAGTTATATATTTCTCTACTTTTGAAGAAAAATTATTTATCAAAGTATAAATTATCTCGAAGACATTTATAACCGACGACTGGAATTGTTTCTTATTCACAATTTTGGTAACGAAGTCAAGAAGACCTTTTGATTTGTTGAATAAATATTGTAGGTATAAGTCTGAAAAAGTATATACTCCATAAAAATTATTTAAAGGTGGTGTAAAAACTACCCAAATCAGGAATATTAACTTGTTCTCGCGTTAAAACATCGTTTAAGTTGATAATTAATTGGTTGCATTGTCTTGGTCCTGCATTCTCATCTTCCAAATGCTGATAGAGCAAAGTGAAAAAACGTCTTAGATCCAAGTCCATGGTTATATTTATATATAAATACACAGTTTGTGGAACTCTAAAAAGTACATGTATTTTTATCACTTGCTGATTGTGCAGTTCGTTAATTAATTTTTCGCTAATAAAAAAGTGCGATTTCATCCAACGGAATGGTTAACGTATCTAGAACTATCGTTAGTTTACTAAAATCTGTTGGTACTTGTTTTACTTAAAACACCATAAACCAGTGCCCAAAAAATCATATTTTTTCCATCGCTTTCTGTTGTGACCTTGACATAGTATAAGGTGGCACAATAGTGTAACCTATATTTGCTGGTTGCAGATTTAAAATTTAATTCAGCTGCTGAGCAATCTGCGTTTTAAACAAGCATTTGATTCTGATCACATTTAATTGTAATATTGATTTATGAATTTAATTTGAAGTTTACAAAAAGGATAAACCTATAATTGTAAATATAATAAGTATCAAAAAAGGAAAAACAGAAAAACAGTTCAAAAATGTTCATCAAGAAACACATCTAACAATTTTTTAAATATATGATGGAGCGTTTACTGCCTCCTCTGGTAAATCATTCCACATATTAAAAACTCGGTTAAACCAAAAGTGTTGTCTAGGTAGTGTTCTAAATTGTGGTTTCAAAATGTTTTGGGAATGACTACGACGCTGCGGAGTTTTATTTAATTCAAAAAGGTTGATATTGGACAAATCCCTGAAAGTATGAAAGGTTAGGATAAGGTCTCCTCGTTGGCGTCTTCTGTGCAGTGTCGCCAACCTCGTAAAGATTAGGCGTTCTTCGTAGCTGAATTTCCTAATTGAAGGAGAGAGTTTAGTAATTCGTCTTTGTACACGTTGTAAAATATTTATGTCTTTAACAAAATAGGGGGACCAAATTGATGCAGCAAATTCAAGAATTGGTCTAATACGAGTATAAGTAGGATGTAGCTTGCTAACTGTGCAGGGATTTGGGTTCCAGAAGTAGTGTTTAATGAGGTGGATTAAATTATTGGCTGTTTTAACTACTGAAGTGATGTGCTTTTCCCATTTGAGATCCACTGAAATGGTGACACCAAAGTCCCTCTGATGGCTAACGGGGGACAATTTAGATCCTGCGATTTTATAAATGAGCTTCGGATTGTTTTTATCTAGGTGACGCACAGTTCACTTTGTCTTATTTAGTGGAAAGAGCCATATTAAACACCAAGCAAAAATAGACTCCAAGTCCCAAGTTGGTTATAGTCGGTTAAAGGATTAGCATATAATTTGGTATCATCGGCAAATGTCGCGATTGTTGTAGACAAGTGAGAAGGTAAATCACCGACGTATAGGAGAAACAACAGTGGACCCAAAACGGAGCCCTGAGGAACTCCGTTTAGGACCGGTCGACTTTTTCAGACAGACTATTACCCACTCCAACACAAAAATATCTGTTGGAGAGATAAGCATCAATCCATTGCGACAATTTCCATCTAACACCAAAACATTCAAATTTCAAAAGAAGTCGTTTTATTGAAACTTCATCGAAGGCGCGGGCAAAATCTAGATAAATGACGTTAGTGGCACAGCTATGATCCATATTAAGAGTCCAGTCACTTAAACAGCCTAATAAGTTAGAAATAAGTGATTTACCCACAGTAAAGCCATGCTGATACTCGGGTATTATGTTGTTGCGAGAGACAAAAAGTCTAAGCTCCTTAACAATAATGGACACCATAATTGTTAAAGTAATGGATTGATTGTAAACAATGTCTGTAGTTAGAAGCCAAAAATCTGTCGCCTTTGTTGTAAATAAGTGATATAACAGACAGAAGCCAAAACGAAGAGAGTGTACCAGAATCAAACGATTGTTGCATAATCGTTGCTAAATAGGACGATATATTGTCCGAATAAGTTTTTAGTATTTTAGGGAATAATTTGTCTAGTCCTGGTGCCGATGAATCTTTGAATTTCTTCGAGAAGAAAAAATGTCACTTAACAGCTGTGTTTAAATGTGAAGTGTTTAAATAAAAGAGTAGAGTAGAAAATTATTGCACTTTAAGCGCCCGTTTATACGTCTGATTGGCGTAGAGTCGATCACATGGTACTTTAACGCCGTGTTAAAAATTTAATCGCAGTCAAATACTTAATTGAGTTTCGATAAACCACGTCTAAATGTGTTAATTCGTTCAATACTAAGCCTTACAGCTGATGCTCACAAGGCAAAATCTTTTTAAAACTCAGTGTTCGTTGCGGCGCTAACTAAAGATTGGTTAAAGCACAAAAATCTGATAGTTTAGGAAACGAGATTTCGATAGCAATTAGACCAAGAATTAAAATCAAAAATTGAAACACAAAATTTGTTATTAGTAAAACCTGTCTATATATGCCGGAATCGCGCGGGTCCAAAATTTTTATCCGTCTTAAACAGGGTTCCGGCTTTTACAGGAAACCCGACTATGATGGAAAGTAAACCTCTATAAAACGGAAATCAATTTTTATTAAATTGAATACATAGGTACATATAAAAGAATTATTTGAAATATTTGTTTATTGTTATTTGCTTTTTCGGTCATTGAGATATATTTTCCATGCTTGTTCTCAACTGCAAAAGGTTGGCTACACGCTCACCTCTTTGCCATTATTCTCTAATTTATTTTAGGAATATGTTTTATAATTTGATATATTTGCGTTTTTGCAACCGAATTTTTGCAAATTTCTTTAACACTCAAACTTTGCTGCTCGTGTACATTAATTAAATCCGTTTTGTTGTTATCGTTGCTCGTTTTTTGGGCCATTGCGAACACACATGTAACCACCAATTAAATGAGAATTGAGAACAGTGCTTTTCTGTTGACAAAAAATGCACCTGCAGGTCCACGATTTGAATTACATATTTTTCGTAGAAATCATCAATTTTGTTCTCGCTTCCGTTTTACACAGAGTTGGGTGCATGTATTTTGACACGTTGGGACTTACAAATATTTTCCGTTTCCGGCTTATACGGACCAAAATACATTAAATTAGGTATTTGAAAAAACGGGAATGCGGAAAATTTCCGCGATGAGCAGTTTTCCGCCTTCTACAGAGTCCGGCATAGACCGGTTTCACTATTGATGTACAGAATGGAGAAATTATATTAGATTCAATCACATAAGAATCTCCAAACATGAAAAATACATTCACATCAAAATTACAAGACAGAAAGACGATCTCTAACCAAAAATGACGGTATTGTATATACCAGTATCTGCTGTCATAGATTGTTTCAGCTTATTTATAACATTAAATACAGTCTTTTTTGTATAAATCTGTTGTCTAAAACATGGGTGTGGACGTAGATATTAGTCTATTAGTTATGAAAATTAGTTGTTCTGAGACTGAAGTAGACGATTTTTTAAAATAATCCCAACAGGTATTTACTATATCATGCGGATCATCAATTTTATTATTCTCGTGGATCATAACTGAAGGAATGTCAGCTTACTAATCGCATCATATACAGAATAGGGATTTAAGTCATTAAGAACATGACCAGATTTAAGAACTAAATTATAAGTTGTAATATCAATTTCGAGATCAGATTGACAGATATTGTATTTAGGTACGTTTGAACGAAAAATTGCATTCCCTCTATGAAAAATGAACACCAGCAATTTTCCAACTGGAGAAAAAAGAAAAATGTTCGAGGTTTGAACGAAAATATTATCTTGGCATACATGTCCGAGAAATCAAAAAAAGTAAAGACGTCGACGTTATGGTTATATTTTTCGATGTTAAAGTTGTCTCTAAAATTAAAGGAAAAGAAAACGGCAGGTTTGAAGATTTTAATTAGTATTTTACAGATTGTTGTAATATTGCTTTTATGAAGATTTGGAATAGTTCTAACATTCTTGAAAAAACAATTATGCAAACAAATCACAAACTGAAAAAATCGAAAATATTTACTAGTGAGGAGGTCAACAAATTTTTGTGTGAAGCACTTGACAACAAATACTTGCTAAAAAAGGTTTGATCATATAATTTTATTCCACCTAGTAGTCTAAAACACACTGTTCTGTTTGTAGGTTGCTACTGTAATGGATATTAATGGAGGTTGCAGAACAGACGAGCAATGGAGAATGGAAATAAATCATATAGAGGACAGAGGATCCGTCCTTGCAATTAGTGTTCCTGACACTGAGACTAAAAAAATCGCGAGTATTTACCGTTGTTGATGAACAAAATGATTACTTTTAAATTACACAGAGAATAAACACCAAACAACTCATTGGAAAAAGTACCTCCTTACAGTTTCCTCCGCTAATTGCTGAATTTTTGGAACTACTAGATTTTATGCTATATATAGGGCACTATTTACGTCGGTGTCCTGTGACATTTTTAGTGGACGCTGGTGGGAATCGTCTCAAGCTCAAGAACCACAGTAGTTGAAAGCCATCGAGGGATATGTCGAACAAAGTTTGGTAAAGAAAAAAAAACCTTTCCAAATAGCTATTTATATGTACTTACATCAAGATGTAAAATGAACGCTTTTTTCGCACTAGACGTGAAGTTTCTGACACTCGCTCGTATGAGAACACGTCGTATGCGAAAAAAGCGGAGTTTTGCAGCGTGTTATATACAAGATTTTTTGCAATTTTGAACTAAAAGTAAATATAAAAATAAATTGTAATTCTGGTTGCGCGAATAATTTTCAATCAAAAGTTAGGTGGTTGAAAATATTTTTGTTGGTTACTGATTATAATTATATTATTTACGTTTGAACGGTGAACTTCCAAGTAAGATTGCGAATTTTCTTGAATTGCAGCTCAGAACCGTTCTAATTTTGGCTCCTTTTATAAGTGCACTCTAAATATTTCTTGTTGTTCCGATTCCAAACATGTTAATAAAGTTATTGAGTGACTTGTATTGGTATTTTTTAATTTGTTGATCAAGAAAAGGATCAACATTAATTCCTCATGTGATATTTGAAAGATTAAACGTCTACTTTAACGACCAAAAAAAAGGAATAAATTCGATATGAGAAAAAAAGATTAATAAATTCCCTCAAAATCTAATGGTAATAATAAGGCATTCAAGTATAAGTTAAAGGATCATCTTATACGAATGAGTCTGTGTTCCATTAATGAATATTTTAGTTAATTGTATATGCACTAGTTTCAGTTTTGTTTCATTTGTTTTTGTGACATATTCCATTCACTTAAGGTCTATTATTATCTGTTATTATTACCAGAGTAAATGACATTAGAAATGTAACACCGAGAAATAACAATTTTTGGAGTTGGTTTTACCGTTTTTTTTTTTGAAGTTAAAACTTCAACCATAAAAAACAACAAACGAAGGAAAAAATAATGCTCCTAGTACGTTTGGCAACCCCCATTTTGAATGGATTCGTTGACACGTCTGAGCATCGATTCCATTACTTCTTCCTGTAGTACTTCATCCCAAGCAACTTGAATTTACAGCCGTAGCGGAGGCAAGGTCTGTGGAGGATTTTGTAATGTCGTCACTCTTCTGCCCCTCGTATTCCATACGTGTTCAATGGGATTTAAATCCGGAAATCTGGGGGGTCAGGGCAAAACATTCAAAAGTGTTGGAGATAAGACAGATATTGTAATCAGAGCATTCTTTATGAACATCAGTTTTATGCAATAAAAATTGTTAAACATAAATCGTTATTTCTTGGTGTTACATTTCTAATGTTATTTAGCATACTATTTAACGAAGCAGTTTTCCTTGGGAAAACAGAACTCTACTGGTGAATATGCCGACGGCGACGTCAATATTACTATACTGTGATATTACTTTCCTTCAGTGAATAAATCTCAATACGCAGAATGAAATTTGAACAATTTTAATTTATTGTCGCAATCAGCACACACGAAACACGCATCGGGCACTGATAAGTGATAAGTATCACAAAGCAGATAAACAGCAGGATCGACTTCCGCATTGAAGTTTGGACCTTTATTTTCCATTATGTGTATAAATTAGACGTAATAAATAGGAGGTATCACAAGCATAACCTCAGAATTTAAAAAGGTATACAAACCTTATGACATTTGAGCGACGAGAGCGCCCAAGTCACGGCGATTACATGAAGCACAACAAATAAGGAAACACAAAACACTTTTTTAAGGAAAATGTTCAAAAACAAACGTATTAATAATATCAAGTTGTTCTTAAGACACCTTAACCCTTTCAGGTAACGCCTGAATTGATAATTAATCTACTAGTAATTATTAAGTTGAATTTTATACATTAAATTCAATTAACATGGCACAGCAAAACCCCACTTCACCACGCCCCACTGTTCTACGAAGTAACCACAGCTCAGATAACATTTGTTATCTATTATGTGATATAGCTAAAAACTAAAACTGATGTCTTTGCCATTTCTATTGAATCACTACCTGTTGCTTTACTTAAAATTTAGCAATTGGTGCCAGCTTTCGGTTGATTGCTTTTAATTAGAAAATCATTTGAATGCGAACGTTGCCAGATTTACGATCAACAAGTGGTATTTCAATAGAAATGGCAAAAGCTATACATTTGTGACTAAAATATGTATTTATTTATTTGAATAAGTAGGTAATCAATTGATTAATAAATCCCATAAACCCCCAATATTCAAGTCTGCAATATTTTAAAGAATTACCTAATTAAAG